TTTGCAAGTGAAAAGACTTGTATCAAAGAAATGCTACTCTGCTATTTCTTTCCTCTGCTAACAATAGCAAGTGGTCAGACACAGTATTTTTGACTAAGTTTCCCATTCAAAAGTACTAACAGTGTTAAAAAGTTGCAGAAGATGGTCCAGATAAAACATTTAATCAGCAGAATCCCTAATAACTACATGTGTCTCTATGCACACATGCACTCATGCATTCATGCTTTTGCCCTGATAAAAATTATCACAATAATGTCATTTAGTATTCCCTCCTTTCGGGAGCTGCTAGGATACTACTTTCTTGCCAGAATAATGAAGGCTTTCTTGCAGTATAACGGAACTACAAGGACTATACCAACCAGGCACCAGTTACTCTATGTGATGAATGTGAAGAACAGGATGTGCTTTTGCTGTTACTCACTTGCTCATTGCTTCTACACCAGCTTTGGCACAGGCACTTGGCATCACAAATCCAGAACCACTCTCTGTGTAAATTGTCGTAATAGCCAGGAACGCTGCTCCTGGGAATTGCAAAAACATTACAAGGAATGAATAACCATAAAAAAGTTCAGGCTATGAATTCAAAATGAAAAACAAATGACAGCAGTGCAGACGTTTGCAGCTCAAGTGGGAAGGATACCACCCTTTTCCTTTCTGTTCCCCCTTTTCCAAGAACAAAAACAGATGGTGGTTGGGCTTCAAACCACAATCTGAAGTCACAGACTACAGTAACAACGAACACACATGGGCAAATTTAAGTCTACACAGAAGGAAGGCCTAAGACCTTACAATGTCTTTTTAGAAGCTGCTGCAGCCAACTGGTTACTAGTAACCAGGCATTTTGTCCCCAATTCCATCAATTCGTAGCTAAAATGACAAAAAAAAAATCAGTATGGAAAGCTAAGTTTGGAAAAGTGTTAAAATTACACAAGTTCATGGCACAGTTCACTACTTGTGCCACAGAAACTAAAGCACCTGCAGACATAAGTATGTGCCAGTGGTTTAGACACTGTCAAACATACAGCATCCTGATAGATAGCAACTAAAAAAACAGTGACGCTTTCCATCATTTCTGAAACTAAGGTCCTTCTGCGCAAAGAAAAGGACGGGCAAACAAGAAAAAATGAAGGTGGGGAGTGAAGGGGCAAAAGGGTAACATCTGACTTACTTGCAAAACTTTTTTTTTTTAAAAAAAAAGTCTTAACTACAAAGTTGTGCATGCAGAATCACCTAGATAGCAGGCATACGGGAAACAGTAAAAGACATTTGTACATTTCTACATTAGAAGAGAAAGGAAGACAGGCAATACGAAGGGAAATGGCTGAGACAAGACTCTGTAGAATTTGAAGCCATTATGAAATATGAATAAATGAAAACTATCCTTCTTCCCGTTCAACTTTTATTAATTTTAACTTGTTGCAGGAGATCAAACAGGCATCTGGAAGGCCATAAAGCAGATTATTGCAATATTTTGCTATAATGATAGTGAAATAAGAGTTGAGGATGTGGATTTTAAAAGTATCATTTTGAATACTCTACTGCTAGCATCCCCATGTTATGTGCTGCTGATGCATTTAAGAGATATCACGTAATCAAAACTGTTGCTGAGATCTGTATTTAAGATTAACTTTATATTGTTATAATTAATGTTGTACAATCCCAAGTATTTGGTTTAGAAATGCAAGTATGGAGCATTTTTCAGGGCAAGTTTTGCAGAGACTCATCTTGTTCAGCAGTTGAGAAAATACTGTGCAAATAAAAATAAATAAAATAATAATAAAAATATAATTGTATATAATTATATATTACATATTATATAATTATGTATTATATTATTTATATAGTATATATAATAAACAAAATATATAATAACATATATTATACTATGTATATTATATATATCATATATAACCATATTATATAAATAAAACTATATTATAAAAATTATTTTATATTAAAAAAACATAATTTTTAAAATAATACAATTTTAATGCAGCAGCTGTATCAAGGAAAAAAGGTATCATATACATAACATAGACATAATTATTTGGTCAGATTTGGTCAAATTTGACCATCAAACACAACAGCGAGAGAAAACTATAAAAAGATGTTAGATGCTTAGCTACTGCTTTTCTTAAATGAAACATACCTTTTTGTGCTTTAATGAGCTCCTTCCCAATTTCCAGAGTGACGAAGGCAGTACCGTTAAGCACAATATCAGTTATTGTTTTCCATGCATTAGTAGAAAGTCGCTCAGAAGGGCAAATGAAGTTTCCAGCTGCATTGTTTATCACAATCTGAAACAGATTAATAAAAATGTAAAAGTTGCATTAAAATTAGTTTATGTATTAACACTGAATACTAGGCTCATGCTTAAGAACTCCAGTACTTAAGTATTTTCAATACTGCCTCAACAGCATCCCAGATGAAAGCTACTGCCTCACAAGTTCTGAGGTCACGTACGTTATTGCTTGAATCACTAAATAAACAAAGCAGTGATAAAGATGCAATAACAAACCTAGTGAATTAAAGGTGTTATGAAATAGTATTATAGGAATGTAAGTGAACAGGACTACCAAATAAATTATACAAAAAAAAAAAAAAGGACTGCTTTCTAACTGGGAATATTAAGGATGGAAAAACAAAGACAGAAGGAGCAGAGGCCCAGTGGCAGTGATGCCCGGACTTGCGATAACCATAAACATACCTGTCGCATGTCATGAAAAACTAGATAGAAAAACTGAATATTCATTCACTCTGCAGTCTCTCAGATACATAAAATAGGTGAAATTAAAGAGACACAAAGTGCCTGTAAAGAACACTTAGGACACAGTTTATTCAAAATCAGCTAGTGTATTGAAAATGTAACAGAAAGCAAGAAGACTCCTCCCTCTCCCCATACAGTTAAAAACCTAGAGATAAGGACGTGCTTGGGCCAAGAAACATATAACTCATAGTCAACATAATATATGAGAATAACCATCTAGCTATTAGAACAGGGAGCAAGCCTTACAGCAGTGCTACAGCACACAGCTGTGAGAGGCACATCCTCCACTTTGGACGTGCCCCGCGTGTAAAATTTCTCCTTCATGTCATTAGTAAGCTATAAGGTGCAAATCATCCACAGTACACGTTTAAAATATCACTGCATATACTATTATACTATACAGCAGGATTAATGTCTTCATCATATATTCGATCAGACAGCAAAACCTAAGTTGCTCCTATCACTAGCAAATCAGGATGGGCTGCCTATACTTGCTTAGATTCCAATACATCACGCTTGATGCACAGTCTAAGAGCTCTACATTTTCTGCCAAACTATTAAAAGATGTTTAGCTCTTGACTGATTTTAAGGGAATTCAGTTTTCAAACTGGACCTTCTTTGTATTTTTAATAAACCGTAAAAAAAATATAGATGCTTACTTGTGTTTCTAATTTAGGAGACATTAGATTAATAAGCAGCAGGCGTAATTAGGCACCACCACAGGTAAGGCCCCTTTTTAAGGAAGATTTTAAGGCAATATTCTGTTCACTTAATTTATATGAATCCCATCACAACTGTTTCATTTGTGACCTTCCACTTGACTCCCGTTTGGGCTTAGGACACGATCCCTGCTGCACGTGCCACGTGCCTGATTCATGCTGGCAGCAGAGCCCCGGGCTAAGCGAGAGCCACACGGGCACCACATACTCAAGGACAAATGAAAATGGGATCTGTTATCCTTGCAGTTTTATAAGTAACTCCTTGTTAACACCTGGCAAGACCAAAACCCTGTAGAATTGAGCAAATTCCTAAAATCGCCTAGTAAACAAAATAACTAATAGGGGCAGCAGAGACTAAACTTCAGAGCTGAAATGGAGGAATAGGTGAGCTCCCCCAGAGGCCTCTGAAGCAACTCATCCAGCAGCTGCATTGCTAAAGCTCTTGTGCTTCCCAGAGCAATGTAGAGGATACTCCAATCGTGATGGAGGAGGGAGCAGCACTCTCATCCTCAGCTAGGTGGCCAGTTTGCTCAGAAGCGCACAAACTTGCAATTTGTGAATTAGCAAAATAATTAATTAGTGAATAGAGAATTAAGGAACTAGAAAGCTAATGACTCATCCTAGTGGATTAACACCTTGTTTGCTCTTTCACCTAATAAGCTTGTGAAAATAAGGTCTGTTTCACACAGTGCACTGCTCTGTAAATGTGAGAGATCACAACAGACAGACAGCTTAGAGAAAAACAGTTACTCTTCAAAATGGCCACAACAGTGTTCTATTTGGCTACTACATGTTTCAGTAACTACAGAAATAGAGTAGACAATACAAGTGCCAAAGTCAGCTTTATCTCAAAGTACAGCCACTTTTTGTCTAAGTGTCTTTAGACACTATTGCTTTTCTACCATATTAATTTTCTTCCTATCTAGCATGCAGAATGTTTTCAGTAAGGAAGACTGAAGTTCCTCCCTTTAACTAGAACACTTACATTAGGAGGTCCTCCAAGTTGGATTAATTCAGCGACAGTATTCTTAACAGAAACAGGATCTCTCACGTCACACTGGATCGCATAAACCTATATAATTATGGAAAAACAGCTGTAAGCCTTCAAAAACACATTCATAAGTTAAACAATCCACAGAAACTTGTTCAGGAATAAAACCTTTTAAGAACTATTCATATTCACAATCCTGAACACTTTACCTTATTCCCTGTTTCGGAAGAAATTTCTTCAGCTGTTCCTTTCAAAACATCAAGCTTCCTAGGAGGAAAAAAAAAAGAGCATAATTATCACTGGATTTCAATTAAATAAATTTACAATTCTGATCAATATAATCTGAAATATGACTTTCCTTCTGAACAGAGTTAAAACTTAGAACACCATATGTGTGGGTGCACTAAGTTTAGTGAAATCTTACTTTAAAAAAATACACATAGTTGCTTATTTTCTGAAAGAAAATTATTAAAATCCAAGTCCTCTTTCCTACTGCTACTGAAAAGCAACTCGAAAGTGACTACAACAAAATTATTTTGTGCTAGTCAAAAGCAGTAGGCTAGCAAAAATATTTATATCTAAGTAAATATTCATAATAAATTTAATAGCTACTACTCTACTAGTACTCTATGAAGGAGATTTATATATATATATATACACACACACACACATATAAAGACTTGAAATGATCTATATCACTGGAAAAGTGTCATAATGTTTTTATTTCAATTAAAAAATCTTTTTTCTTTACTGAAATACTATCTAACAAAATTTTAGAAGTATAATTTTCATAACAGGAAAACTATAGCTGTGCAAAGTCTTAAGAATTAAAGAATTTAATTTGACAGTGAGGGTGACAGAGCCCTGGAACAGGCAGCCCAGAGAGGCTGTGGAGTCTCCTCTGGAAATCTTCAAAACGCTCTTGGATGCAGCCCTGTGCCACGTGCTCTGGGTGGAGCTGGGGGGTTGGACTAGATGATCTCTAGAGGTCCCTTCCAACCTTAATGATTCTATGATTCTAATTATTTCTGGAAGTTAAAATCTACTGTATAGGAATCACCTGCAAAAATATACTCAGAATGATTAACAACATGCATTTCAATTTTGTGCTCTTTTATACTTTTGTGGAATTCAATTTTTAACTTTTGGGGTTGTTTGTTTTACTACTACTTTTCATATTTTTCTACTTGTTTCTTCCTATTGCTGGCTTCACAGCAGATCTAAAGGCAACAGACAGTTCAAGAGTTAGATATTTGTAAATATATCAGCATGTTTTTGTATTTACCATATAACATTGTAATTTAAAGTTTCCCGAAATAAATAGAAGATATTATTTTTTATTATTCTTTGTAAGCTTTTACTTTCTTCGGCAAAACTGTGCAGATACATCAATTCAGCATTCAGTACCAAATGAAAGCTCTAAAATAAGTTTGTTAGTATTTACCGGCTTGCTATAACACATGTGGCACCCAAACTGGAGAGGGCTGTTGTCATCGCTTTGCCAATCCCAGTACCTCCACCAGTTATAAAAGCCAATTTCCCTTGGAAGGTTTTCGGTGGCAACATCATGTTTGGGACAGCGGGAAAGAACACAGCTTGCGGTGCATTGCTGTACTGGTGCAACACATTAGGCCCACGGCTGAAAAACTGAAAAAATAAAAAGAAAATAAGTTTTCATATGTATATCGAAATTCTCATTTCTGGATAGAAGATGTTATATCTCCATCGTCCTAAGAAAATCTAATTCTGAGTAGCAACTAAGACAGCTTTCCTACTAAATGTAAAGTCAGGGACATCACCTAACATTAAAGCCTAAAGACCTTCCTATAAATGCAAATATGAAGAAATCACCTGAGCTATTTTAGACTCTTTTATTCCAATGGAAAAAATTACCGAAAAAAAAAATACTGCCATGGTATTTTTCCTTATGCTCAGTATTATTCTTATGCCTGTCACTTTTGCTCATATGTGTGGAAATTCTTTAATATGAGTCCACCAACTCATTTCATACCCTAAAGCCAGATTTGGATTTTAGGGTCATAAATATGTGGCACTGAGGATTAACAATAACCTTCCCGACTGTGAAATCACATGTATATATAAGTCTTCATAGACTCAGAAGCTTCACTAGTAGCTTCCAGGCTTTGATCCGTTGCTATTACAGTCCACAGAAGACTCTCCTTTACTGGTTTGAATGGCGTGGAATTAAACTGCATAAAATATTTCCCTTGCCATTAGCTGGGCTCTTAAGCAAACTGATACAGTCTTCTTGACAAATCTGGGCAAGGTTAGGCATTAGCACCACACTCTGTCCTAGTAAAAATATTATTTATAGAAAAATAGCTCTAGCAAGCTAATCTCAGCAAAAAGCCATGCCACGTACTTTAAGAAATAAATAATTACAATAGTGATCTAAGTAAAAATATTCCAACAATGCAAAAGAACCTGTGGTATTTTGAAACACCTCAAATAATACAAGTTTTTTGTTTACTAAATCCTGTTTCCAACACTGAAATTAACAGATTGTTTTTAGTAGTAGTTGAATAATCATAATTGTCATGCCTCATCCTGTGTGGATGAGGATTTCCTAGTGCTTAAAGACAACCCAAGAAACTGCATGCACACTTTTGTATGCAGTAACACACATGCAAGCAAACAACACAGGGAAAAAATGTGGAATTGCATTTCTCATGTAACAGCTTGTGTTTCAATAAAATGATTAAACAAAAAGTAAGAATAGGGAAGAGGTGCAGGCACACTAAAATAAAGACAGAAAAGTTTAAACTAAATTTATCATGAAAGCAAGGTAACACAGCCAGAACTACATATTAAACAAGTAATTCGGGCATGCTTTCTGGAACTGGCACCCTTTGGCCGCTTGCAATACAGTCTTCAAATAAATAAATAAATGGGATTTAAGACACACAGGCAGCTCTAATAGAGAGTCCAAAGATCACTCCAACATTTTTTTCTGAAGTGACAAAACCCTATTTGATCAGATCTGCCACCGAACGATGGCATAAGGGTTAAAACAATAAATAATAATAACAACAGG